TGCTCCGGCAGACCCGGGGGTGGCTCGGGGCTGGCACACGGACGCGTGCTGTTGTTCTGGAACGGAGTGCACTGGCACAGCGGCGTGTGGGAAGCTTGCATAATAGTGCCAGCCCACACTACGCCTGCTCCTTCCCAGCATGATCAGCCCCTTGCTTTCATGAGCAATAACATCCACCCAAAGTTTTCTAAAGACAAAAAAAAAGAGCTTCAAGGTGATGCACAGAGCTCAGCTGCCTCTGCTGCCTCTGAACCGATTAGTGCAGCTGGGGAATCCATCTGCACAGCCACTCTAATCCCACATTCTGGACAACGTGTACCCCAGCAAGGGACGAGGAGCCTCAAGCTCCCATTTCATGATTCCTGAGCAGGCACCTGGGGCTGGGACAGGGCACAGGAGCCGGTGTGCACTGAGCAGCACTGTGAGGGGGCACACACAGCCCCCACACCGGCAGCTGCTGCCCCAGGCACAGCCATGGGAAGCAGCATCTTCATCCTCAACCAAAAAACATCTCCATGCCCTCCCCTGGCAGGACTGCTGGGTGGAACGCACATACCTGAAGGCCAAGAGCAGGTGCCTCGGGTGGGGCGGCAGGTGGGAGCTCAGGCTCGTGTTCACCCCTCCACGCCGTCAGGAAGAGCTGTCGGGGTCTCACAGCAGCACTGAAAGAGAGAGAGGGAGAGGCTCCAGTCCCGTCCCTGTGTGGGCACCGATACCGGAGGAGGACGCGGCGGAGCTCGGAGCATCCCGGGGATCGCAGTGCTTGGCCCCCTGCTCCAACAGCGCAAGGATCTCCTCCAACAGCACAGCTATCCCAGCTGGGAGCAGCTCTGGAGCAGCCCCTGACCCGGGCAGAGGCAGGATCCAGGACCCTGCCCCGTGGCACAGCCCCTGAGGAGGGGGAAGCGTGTTCAGCCCAGGGAACAGGACCCGCACACAGCAGGCCCCAGCTTGGGGTCCCCAGAGGGACATGTCCCACTCTCTGCACTGACAGGAAATGCTGAGGCTGGTCCTGCCTCCCTGAGAGCACCAGCCTTGGCCTCTGACAGTGCATGGGATGGAGGCAAGGAAAGCAAAGACTTCTTCCTAAAGGAATAAAGTCCCCAACCCACCTGCTCCCCCTCTGGAGGCCACCAGCAGCTCCAGTTTGGTTTTCCCCGACCCAGGTTGGACAGGAGATAATTTAACAGCCTGTCCCCCACTGTAATGGGACTGTTTCCCTGCTCCCCTGGGCAGCCCATGCATCAGAGCACAGAGCAGTGACGTCCCCTGGCACCTCACCAGGCAGCCCCCCTGTGCTGTGAGTTACAGCACCTGCACCGTGCGCTGGGATGGGCTCAGAGCATCGGCTCCACACCAGGAACTGAGATTTATCCCCTCGGTGGAGCAGGGGCAGAAGCTGGGAGATAAGTCACAGCAGAGCTGCAGGAGTGGCGCTCAAGGTCCTCCAAGGTTGGCTCACTAAAACCCAGGAGAGAGGGAAGACAAGTCCTGCCTGCTGGGGTGGCTGCAAATCCCCTCCTGAGGCTGAACCAGCCGTGGCCAGCAGGGAGGTGGGAAGGGAGCTGGGCCCCCAGGCTGGCTCTGCAGCAATCCCTGCTGCCCGGGCTCTGTGAAGCCACCAGTGTCCCCCAAACACCCTCCCAGCACGTTCCAATAACCCCAGCAGACAGGGATGGGCTTCCCAGCAGTAAAAATCCAGTAGCAAAAATCCAGCCAGTGAAAACCCAAGAGGCAGCCTGGAGAGGGGCTTGGATGCTGCCCCAGGAGCAGACTGGAGGCGCCCACTCTGGGGCTGGCACCTGCACTCACCCAGCACACCGAGCACGCGGCTGGGAGCGGTGTGAGCTCCCAATGGGCACCGTCACAGGTCTGGGGACAGACCACAGAGAGCCCACAGAGACACAGTGAGCATGGCAGGCGCTCCCCAGACTCGCTGGAATTCCCCTCCTGCTTCATTAGTCCTGCTCATTAGCTCTGCTCCTGATCAGCAGGCACAGCAGCGTCGCTCTCCAGCCCTTCCCTCCCAGCCTCTTTAATGCTGGTCTGCCACAGCCTGGGTGTCCCCTAACTCCCCCTGGGTGTCCCCTAACCCTCCTGGGTGTCCCCTAATCCCCCTGGGTGTCCCCTAACTCCCCCTGGCTGTCCCCTTCACAGGCTCAGCCACCAGCCCCTCTTCCCTCCCAGCTGTGGTTGTGAGTGACCAGAGCCACGCTGGAGCTGGGGGCTCAGAGGGACTCACATTGTGGGGTTTGCCCCCCTCTGAACCCCTCCAATCATGGTCAGCAAGTGCAGGACGAGACAAACACTGGGAAAACCCAATTGCATCGCTGAAACAAACTGAACACAGCAGGATCTTCTCAGCACTTTCTATTTTCAACAGCAAAGCCACGTGAGTGCAGGACAGGGGCTGGCATGTTCCCGCTGGTGCTGGGGGCCCAGCAGCCTCCCTCAGCACCAGCAGCATCCCCACAGCATCCCCGGCACTGGGAAGTGTTCCTTCCCCAGGAGGGATGGAGAGTGAATTGCAGATCCCTGCGGGGCATCTCCCCCAGGAGCCGCCGGGCTTTTACTGCACACTAAACCACAGCGATTAGATCAACAAGCCAACCCCTGCAAGGCTGAGAGGTTTTATCAAAGCCAGCAGCACCTCAGGGAGGAGATGGGAAGATGATGCAGCTGCCCACAGCATCTGCAATCCCTGGGCCAGCCTGGCGGCTGCTGCAGGGGCAGGACCAAGGCTGTGCTGCTCATTTTCAGGAGCCTGAGCCTCTGCTGCTGCCTCCAGGTCCTGGCCCTAGCCCGGTGCCTCCTGTCAGACCCATTTCTGTGGGGTGCCACAGAAATGCCCCTCAGCAGGCAGGGCTGGGGGCAGCAGGAGCTGGGGGGCAGCTGGAGCCACAGTGCTTTTCCCTGGATTGCAGAGGAGCAGGAGAGGGATTTTCTTTCAGCAGCAAACTCGCTGAAGCAGCACCTGAGCAGCCCCAGCTCCTGCTCCAGCCCAACCTGCAGCTATTCCCCACTTCCCTGCGCCACAGCTGATGTCTGTGAGTGCAGCAGCAGCAGCAGCTCACTAATAGGATTTTGATGCTCAACAGAAGATGTTTTTCTCCCCGGGTCTCACTTACGTCACACCTGGAGGTATCCATGGCCATGGAGGTGACACTGAGGAAGGCTAAAGAGCCTCAGCTCCTGCGCTGAGGGAGCAGCTTCTCCTTCAGCTGCCAAACAGCAGAGTTACAGTGACCCAGCACTGCCTGCCCTCGTGTGCCCCCACCCCAGCACTGCCCCGGGGAGGGAGAGAGCATGGCCCCAGTGCCACAGCCCCACTGCCCCCCTGGCTGGATGGACTCACCCCTTCCCCAGCTCCCACAGGAGTGAGCAGAGCCCCTTGCTGCTGGGGCTGGGCAGGGGAAACCTGCATCCCACGGGCACCATCTGCTCCCAGTGCTCCCAGTGCTGGGGGAGCCTGGAACCCACAGGCACCACCTGCAGCCCATGGGCATCACCCACTCCCGTGGGCATCACCTACTCCCATGGGCATCAGCCGCTGCCAGCACTCCCCCAGCCCCAGGCAGTGCTGCCAGCACAATCCCGTGCCACAGGGACCACCCACACGCCACAGCAGCAGCAGCAGCAGCAGCACAGAGACAGGCCTGGGTGGCAGAGCCAGCAGCTGCCTCAGGGAAAGGGGAGGAAGGCTCGTCACCCCCTGGCAGCCTCCTCCCCACAGGAGCAGGGGGAAGGTCCCGCTCACCCCCACTGCTGGAGATGGGGATGTCTCTGCCTGCCACAGACAGAACCAGAGCGATGGGAGCCACCCCTGCAGGTGTGGGTGACATCTCACCCGT